TACTGAGGTCTGATGCAAACTGGATAACAAAAATGGAGTTCTGTGTCTGAAGCCCCTTCACACCAAAGAAGTACAGTTAAACTGGCAAACCAAAATGTACATACAATATAAGTTAACAATTATACACATTTACAAACAGTTACTGGAGGCTTGGAAAGTTGCTATTTCCAACAAAAAGTGTCCATTTGCATGGGGGAGAAAATGACACCTTTGCTTTACAATGGCTCAGTGTAAACAAATTTTGTTTCATGCATAACTTAATCAAGAAATAAAATTACCATCAGGCAATGTGTGCAAGGTGCATGTGAAACATAAATGAACTCTATGTTTGGACTTGATCTATATTTTACAAGAAGTATGGTAAGGTGTGAGAACAGGGAGAAGTGTATGAAGTGGGGTGTTGGGTTGCTGATTGGTTCATGAAAGAAGATGTCAGAAGGGAAAATGTAATAGTTAGGGAAGGAGAGTGCAAGAAATGGCAGGTGGGCTGGAGAGAACATACAGCCCACTGTTGGGAACTTGTACCAGTCAGATAATAATAGCTCAGCCTTTGACTTTTTCCTGCTCAACTGTGGTGTACATGTAGAAAGGGAAAGGCTATGTTCCCAAAAACCATATAGTAGAAGGGGTGTGTTATAATGTATCCTTTTGCTCCTGAGAAATGAACTCATGCAGAGATAGCACCACAAGCTACTTTTAAAGCCAGGGTGCATCTACACTACATGTAGTCTCCATGTAGTCTATGCTTATTTAGAGGAAGATCTACAAACCACATTGAGCCATAGTAATTCAAGTCATATCAAACTACATTCTTTAGTGCAACCTCAGTGATCACATACCTTCTTTGATTATTCAGTCTGTGGTCAGTCAGTAGTGATTATAAAATTGGGGCCAGTGCAATTCTCACAATGTTAGTTATTTGTGCCTGTAATACATTATACAGTATAGTATATATTCACAGTAATGTAAAATTTAATTATGTATATACAGTACATTATACAATATTATATAATATAGCATTACAATTATTTTTACTTATAGTACTGGCCTCCTGATGGCGTTAAAGTGGGTTAAAGCGCTGAGTTGCTGAACTTGCTAACTGAAAGGTTGGCAGTTCAAATCCAGGGAGCTGGTTGAGCTCCCGCTGTTAGGCCCAACTTTTGCCAACCTAGCAGTTCGAAAGCATGCAAATGAGAGTAGATCAATAGGTACTGCTCCAGCAGGAAGGTAACAGTGTTCCATGCAGTCATGCCGGTCACATGACCTTGGAGGCATCTATCGACAATGCCGGCTCTTTGGCTTAGAAATGGAGATGAGCACCACCCCCCAGAGTCAGACACAACTAGACTTAATGTCAGGGGAAACCTTTACCTTTACCTTACTGTACAGTAGTCACACTAGCAACTAAGTGCAATGATGAAGCTAAAATAACTTTTGCACATGTTGAAAAGTGACATATAGCATTTATTTTTTACATTTTTGGTAGCCAAAATGCATTGGAGAGCTTTAAAAAGACTGGGTTCCACTTTTCAACCAATTCTGTTTCCTGACATTGCTCTGGTGCTTAACCCATAGGATGAATGGGGGCTTCCTGAAACTACAAATGATTAGCCCCTTGGTGTGACTTATTCAAGCTAAGGAAAACACTCCCTTGAGCATAGCACCTGTGGCAATAGAAGAGACAAGGAAGTTCCGTAGGATTTTTGACAGATAACAGCGAGAGACAAAAACCAAAGAAATCTAGCTCTCTACTTTAAGAAAATTATTTTCTATATCTCACTATCCTGCACTCCTTAAAACTCCCTTGCTCCCTTTCTCTTACTCATTTGAAGGACTCGTTCTATAACTTACTACTATAACTCACTTATTCTAACCATGGATTGGAATTGTATGGCCTTGTAGTTGTTGTTGGAGTGCAACTCCCAGCAACTATAACAGGAACGAATGTCAGGATTTGCATTCACTGAATTGGTCCTAATACTCCATATGATTCAATAGGCTAAACATCTTAACACTGTTCTAACAATTCACTATTCCCACCAACTACAATTTAATGCAGCTTAGAACTGGTTTGGGAGGAACTGGTTTTGCTCTGCAGGTGATTAGATCGCCATGTCTGCAACCAGTTTGAAGTCAGGATGGTGATTACATTGAACCTGGCCTCTAAGCATTGTGCAGAGTTTCCCCCCAATTTCTGCAGAGGTGCGCATCAGCAAATTAGGCATGTGGGATTTAAAAGTGGGGAGGGATTACCATGAAGAGCAGAGGTGATCAATTACTACTCCAAGACGGTCAATTAGTCATGCCCTTGGTGGGGGGGGGGGTCTTAGTAGCCCTCATTCTGGATTATTTACTGTGCTTCAGCAGCAGTGGGTATCTGTACTGAGCTCTGCATTTAGCGGAGCCAATTTTGCCCTGGGCCTGGGATACACTGGTATTTGTTGCAGTGCATTCCCTACAACTTTTAAAAATGCACTGTATGTTCTCTTTAATGTGTGCTGCAGTGCGCACTGGCAGCATGTGTTTTGTGGCCTCCGTGATTTCATTTTTAAGCACTATTGAGTGCTTTCCATAAGCCGCCCTGAGTCCCTTTGGGGAGATGTTGGTGGGATACAAATAAAGTGTTGTTGTTGTTGGGTTGTTGTGGGTTACATGGCCATGTTCTCCATGGCCATTATCTCCAGACATTTCACCTGCATCTATGGCAGGCATCCTCAGAGGTGAGGTTGTTGTTGTTGTTGTTGTTGTTGGCTGCATTATGCTGTTTGGATAGATGGGGCCTGCCTCTCCAAATGTGTTCCAAACACCAAAAATGGTTCCAATAACTCTTCCGTAACTCACTCTGTTTTACTAACTAACCCTTACTCCAATTCATTGTCTCTGTCATTGGCTTACTTCCCACAAAGGCCATCTTTCAGTAAGATCTCATAAAAGCCAGCCAGCAGGGGATGCATCACAATGGAAGACATGTCTCCGTTATTTAGCAATCAGGCTCAAAAATGTGAAGATACATCTTCAATTGTGTCTTGAATTCTGACAGCTCCCAGGATTCTGTTGCATTGAGCCATGGCACTTAAAGTGGTGTCGTACCACATTGCAGAAGCATCCCAAGAGATTTTGAACCAGAGCAGTGCAGACTTGCCATTTCAGTCTTAAGCAGAAGCTTTGTGCTGGACTATTTTGAACTGTCTTAGAGCGCATCAATATTGTGGAACGCAGTTTGATACTGCAACGTCTTAATGCTATGCAATCCTGGGAGTTATAGTTTGGTGAGCCATCAGCACTTTTTGAAAGAAAAGACTACAAACTCCCGGATTCCTTAGAATCGAACCATGGCACTTAAAAAGGATGTCGAACTGCATTATTCTACAGTGTAGAAGCATCCTTGCTTTGTGTGAACTGCAGAGCTCAGAAATGTGTATTTGTATTTGTATAAAACAATAACAACAACAATATCCTGATTCTGTCTTGATTGAAAAATAATGCGGCTCACAACATTAAAAAAATGTGTGGTTTAAAAACCACAACACACAAATATGGAAATAGGTAGGTAGATAGTTTATTCAATGCTTAGACCATAGGTCTTTCACACACAGGACAGATAAACAAATACATAAAATGTATTGTCGAAGGCTTTCATGGCCGGAATCACTGGGTTGTTGTAGATTTTTTCAGGCTATATGGCCATGTTCTAGAGGCATTCTCTCCTGATGTTTCACCTGCATCTATGGCAAGCGAGGATGGTTGCCATAGATGGAGGTGAAACGTCAGGGGAGAATGCCTCTAGACCATGGCCATACAGCCTGAAAAACCTACAACAACTCAAATTAATAAAAACCAGATTATAAAATATAATACAAAATGCAAAATTAAAATACTATATATATAATTAGGATCATTAAAATGCTACATACATAATATAATTACAGTAATAATAAAAGTATATATATATAATTAAAATCATTAAAATGCTACGTTAGAAGAAGAAGAAGAAGAAGAAGAAGAAGAGGAAGATCGAACTGCAAAGACTCTGGCACAAGCCAGTCAAGGTGGTCCCAGTGGTGATTGGCACACTGGGTGCAGTGCCTAAAGACCTTGGCCTGCACTTAAAGACAATTGACGCTGACAAGATTACCATCTGCCAGCTACAGAAGGCCACCTTACTGGGATCTGCATGTATTATTCACTGATACATCACACAGTTGTGTGATCTTGTCTGCTGTGACCTCATCTTGTTATGTCTATAATAATAATAATAATAATAATAATAATAATAATAATAATAGAATTGAATCTTGTTTGCTGTGGACTCATCTCGTTGTGTTTTAAATAATAATAATAATAATAATAATAATAATAATAATAATAATAAATGAATTGAATCTTATTTGCTGTGGACTCATCTCGTTGTGTTTCAAATAATAATAATAATAATAACTGAATTGAATCTTGTTTGCTGTGGACTCACTTTGTTGTGTTTTAACTAATAATAATAATAATAATAATAATAATAATAATAATAATAATTGAATTGAATTTTGTTTGCTATGGACTCACCTTGTTGTGTTTCTAATAATAATAATAATAATAATAATAATAATAATAATCTTTATTTATATCTCCCCAAAGGGACTCAGGGCTGTTTCCAACCAAAAATGGCCAACATTAAATGCCAGAATACACTAACAATGAGAAACAAACAAACAAATAAACAAGTCCAGAAATCCTCTTAACCTAGTGGCTGAGAAACTTTGATCTTCCAGATGTTTTGGACTTCATCTCCCAGAATCCCATGCCTTTGGTCAAGTTGGCTGGGACTTCTGGGAGTTGAAGTCCAAAAGAGGACCAAAGTTTGAGAGGAAGAAGGCAAAAGCGATTGCAAGGGTGCCTTTCCTCCCCTTGGCTTTGCGTCTTTTTCCTTTTCGAACTTTAGCCACGCTCCCTGGGCTTTGGCCCTTCCATTGGTTAAGAAAGGGAGCCCTGCAGTACCCGACAGCATCCGCTGGGGGCGCTGTTTCCAATCCGGTCCCGCGCGAGTCCGGGGCGTTTTGTGGGTGTCGCTGCTGTTCTCCAAACGGGATCTTTGCCTCCTTTTTCTTTTCCATCGTGGCGTGGGATTGCCTTTTCTCTCTCTTGTGGATCGTGGAAGGACGGATCCAACAGCTTGAAGGTAAGACTCTCTTTGAAAAAACCGGGGGAGCAAGTTGTTCCTCTCCCCAACTCAACCAAATCCACGATCCCGCGTGATTATTTGGCTGCCTCGCCCCATTGGGGTCTGGGATCGCTTTCAGAGGGAAGCCCAGCGTGGAAGGAAGGAGTCGTGCGTGGGTATTCATTTCTCGTGTCCCAGCCAAAGAGGAGGGAAGGAGGGGGAGAGGGCGCCTCTCGGATTGTGCAACAGATTGGAGTCGTCAAAAGTTGGCTCCTTGCTTCCCTTTCTTTGGAAGAGAACAGGAAGCCAGCCTCGTGGGGATCAAGGACTCCCCTGCATCATAGGACAGAATACTTGAACTGCCCTGTCTCCATGCTCTATGGGAGTTGTAGTTTGGGTTGTTTGAGGATAGCCCCAAACCCATTAGACTCAAGGAGCATCTACACTGTAGAATTAATATAATTGCACACCACTTTTAATTGCCATGTCTCAATGCTCTGGGGATCCTGGGAGTTGTAGTTTGGTGGCCTTGTCAAACCAAAGACCTTGGCAAACTACAACTCCCAGGATCCCCATAGTACTGAAACATGGGAGTTGCAGCTGCATGGGTTCTGCACTGTAGATGCATCCATGGCTGAATGGTATAGGGATCCTGGGAGTTGTAGTTTGGTAGCCATGTTAAACTAAAGATCTTGCCAGACTACAACTCCTAGGAATCTCATAGCGTTTAAATATGACAGTTCCAAGTGGTGTCAAACTGCATGGATGCTATGGGGATCCTGAGAGTTGTAGTTTGGCGACCTTGTCAAACTGAAGAACTTGGCAAACTACTACTTTTAGGATCCTCATAGCATTGAGACATGGCACTTCCAAGTGGTGTCAAACTGCATGGATGTTATGGGGGCCCTGGGAATTGTAGTTTGATAATCGTATCAAACTAAAGACCTTGCCAAACTACAACTCCCAGGATCCACTTAGTATTGAGACATGGCAGTTGCAAGAGGTATCAAACTGCATAGATTCTACACTATGTAGATGCACCCTTGGCTGGATGCTATGTGGATCCTGGAAGTTGTAGTTTGGTGACCGTATCAAACTAAAGACATTGGCAAACTACAACTCCCAGGATCCTCATAGCATTGAGACATGGTAATTCCAGGTGGTGTCAAACTGCATGACTACAACTTTCAGGATCCCCATGGCATTGAGACATGGCAGTTCCAAGTGGTGTCAAACTGCAGGGATGCTATGGGGATCCTGGAAGTTATAGTTTGGTCACCTTGACAAACTAAAGACCTTGTCAAACTACAACTCCCAGGTTCCCCATAGCATTGAGACATGGCAGTTCCAAGTGGTGTCAAACTGCAGGGATGCTATGGGGATCCTGGAAGTTGTAGTTTGGTCATCTTGACAAACTAAAGACCTTGGCAAACTACAACTCCTAGGATCTCCATAGCATTAAGACATGGCAGTTCCAAGTGGTGTCAAACTGCATGGATTCTGCACTTTAGATGCACCCATGGCTGAATGTTATGGGGATCCTGGGAGTTGTAGTTTGGTGTTAAACTAAAGACCTTGGCAAACTACAACTCCCAGGATCCCCATAGTATTGAGACATGGCAGTTCCACATGGTGTCAAACAGAATGCTATGGGGATCCTGCGAGTTGGACTGTGACAAGACCTTGTGCCTTCTCTGCCCAAGAGTGCTGGTGCCTCACTAAGCTACAAATCCCATGTTTCAATTTCATTATGGCCTGCCATTTCCATGTGGTGTCAAACTGGGATCTATTCTAAAGTGAGTTTCTAATTCTATTTTAAATGGTAATGTTTATGTCTAGTTTTGCCTGGCCGAAGCATCAAATTGCAAAACTCTCTAGAAAGTTACTATTGTCATTAGGCCACACTTCTCTGTTATTAGGAACTTTCAAAGGGTTTGGGCATGTTTTGGGGGAAATGTAAAAAAATGCAAAATCCAGAAGGACAAGTTTATTAATGCAGTATATACTTTGGGAAATCCTATATTTCTTTTTCCAAGGTTAGGCTCCTTGGGCCCTTGGCGTGCCTTGTGACTTGGGCTCCCTCTGTGGCACCCAACGGCTGAGCGTGACTTGTTTGAATTGAATTAAAAGCCCGCAGAAAGAAGTGTGTGGCAGGGATGGGAAGTGCTCTGTTTCCAAAAGCTGTGCCTGGTTGGAGTAGTCATGCGCTGGGTTGTTGCCTCTTGCCTTGCCAAGGAAGGAGGATCACGGAGTGCAAATTAAAGCCCCTGTGGAGGCAGGGTGTGCATCTACACTATAATTAATTCAGTTTGGCACCACTTTCACTTCATTTTCAGCAGGGAAACTGGATGATGATGACAACGACGATACACACATTGAGTCTCTCTTAGCAGAAATGCTTGGGACCAAAAGTGTTTTGAGGTTCTGGAATCTGTAGTTTGGTGAGGCACCTGCCCTCTTTGGCAGAGAAGGCTAAAGGTCTTGCAAAATTACAACTCCCATGATTCGATAGCACTGAGTTGTGGCAGTCAAAGGATGCATCTACTATACTTGACTGAAAAGTCGCAGGTTCAAATCTGGGGAGCAGCTTGAGCTTCCACTATCAGTCCCAGCTTCTGCCAACCTAGCAGTTCGAGTAGATCAATAGGTACCACTCCAGTGGGAAGGTAACGGCGCTCCATGCAGTCATGCAGGCCACATCATCTTGGAGGTGTCTACGGACAATGCTGGCTTCTGGCTTAGAAATGGAGACGACCACCAATCCCCAGAGTCGGACGACTGGACTTAATGTCAGGGGGAAATCTTTAACTTTACCTTACTACACTGTAGAATGAATTAGTCTACACTACAAGCTATCCTGGAGATGAGACCAGTGCGTAAAAACAAAATTCATGGATGTTGCAGATACATCTTAATACATTTGAGTAATTTTCTCCAATTGTTTCCATCATGTTGGTCACTTTAACTATTGAGGGCACAATTCTATGGATTCCCGGGAGTTGTAGTTTTGCAAGACCTTTAGCTGTCTCTGCCAAAGAGTGCTGGTGACTCCTTGAACTATAAATCCCAGGATTCTATAGCCTTGAGCCACGGCAGTAGTGTCAAACTTTATTAAGTCTATAGCGTCCTATGTTAGATTCGTCCTATGTCAGTCTACAGATTTGTCCTATGTCAGCCACCCATATGGACAGTTTTCGACTTTGAAATTCTAGAAAATGAATTCTCAAGCTGTAATAAATAATAATAATAATTTATTATTGGTGGCACAGTGGGTTAAACAGCTGAGCTGCTGAACTTGCTGACTGAAAGGTCAGTGGTTAGAATCTGGGGAGCGGGGTGAGCTCCCGCTGTTAGCCCTAGCTTCTGTCAACCTAGCAGTGTGAAAACATTCAGGTGTGAGTAAATAGGTACCGCTTCTGCGGGGAGGTAATGGTGCTCCATGCAGTCATGCCAGCCACATCTCGTCTTCCTTTACCTTTACCTGAATTAATAATAATAGTAATAATCATAATTAGTTTGGTGGGAAGTTAGCTAGAAATCTATTCTGGGACATCTGTTAAAAGTTTGCATTCTCCGCCTTTCTTTCAATGCAGTACATGATTTTGGAATAATGATGAATTGAAACACACCTACACAGAAGATGGGGGGGGGGCGCATTAGGATGCCTTTAGAAGGTGCCTAGTGTCCTTTAAATTTTTTTTATGCGAACGAGTAAAGGCCCCCGCATTGGAAAGCATTATCCACAGAAAGCTGAATACAGAATAAGGCTTTTGTTTGCCTATTGTTTAACTCCCAAATAGAGGGAGATGTAGAGAGCAGGGTGGGAACTTGGGGACTTTTTCTTTTTGAAAACCAAAATCATAATTTCGAAAAGCTAGAGGGTCTGGAGGGTTGAATCCTAGATAGTGAAGCAGGGGGACTGTTATTCCATATGCTGCTACTTGACTGACTTTTTGGCGGATATCAACGTATTCTTTATTGAAGCGAAGGCAACACTTATTTTAACTGCCTCAAGGGAGTCCCAAACTGGTTATTCTGGGCCTGCAGCTTTGACCGGGTTTGATTTGTATCTCTGGATGGAGGTAATGCTTGAAAATCGAGTGTCAACAAGTGTGTTTTCTTTATTTTGGGACAGTGGGGTAGAAAAGATTTCATTCCTTAGCTTGGATGCTGATGGTGGCATCATAATTCTTCATATTCTTCTTAACTGATGTTGGCCAATGGCCTCTTCCTAACCCATCATGATATCCGCAAGGCAGGGGAACTCCTCAATCAAATGCTTGTGTCAGCTTTGTGTTGAAGGGGAAAGGAAGCCCGGAGCCAGATCTCTGGGGACTGGTGACCTGTTTGTCACCTCTCAGGCAAAGCTCATTACAAATGGAAATGACACTGTTATATAAATGGGAGATAGAGGAGAAGTGAGGTTGAGTTGAGCCAAGTGTTAGACCATGTACGTTCCTAGTTCATCAAATCAGCTGAAGGATCAGAACAGCTTGAGGTGGAAATAATTTACAGTTGCATTGGTTTTATCTAACCAGGAATGGACTGGTTAGCGTATTTGTTTTCTCCAGTGTCACAAAACCAAGAGGGCAACTAGGGACGTATCATTAGCATGGCTTCTTGGAAGTCTTATATATAGTTGCGAAAAGTCAAAACCAACTTGGTGGCAATTACAGGCAGTCCCCAACTTACAAACGAGATAGGTTCTGTAGGTTTGCCCTTAAGTTGAATTTGTGTGTAGGTCGGAACAGGTACATTTTAAAGGGTAACTCCATATATATATGCGTATCTTTGGTCTGACTCGGCCACGATCGTCCACACTCTGGTTACAATCTGCATAGATTACTGCAATGCACTCTATGTGGGGTTGCCTCTGAAGTCTGCTCGGAAGCTTCAGCAAGTCCAACATTCGGCAACCAGGTTGCTCACTAGAGCAGGGTACAGGGAGTGTACAACCCCCTTGCGTACAACCTCCATAGGCTGCCTATTAGCTTCCGAGCACAATTCAAAGTGCTGGC